TACAAAGAATCTCTATACTAATGGAAAAAGATATCTATATATTACTTACAATTCTGACCAATCTGATGTATGCCCTTTCAAAGTTCATGAGGTCAGATATGGAGTTTTATCTGAGTCAACATCTAATACTCTAATTATACCACTTCCCTCAGTAAAACAACAATACTCTATTCCTGAGGGAAGTGACTATTTAAACTGTAAAATAGGAGGTCACAAATCATTATTATGGCATACAGCAGGTGGATATATAATTTCCTTTTCTGCAGATGGAATACCCATGACTCCAAATATTCTAAATCACTTGTCTAATTCCTCTATCTCTACCAGACAAAAAAGAAGGGTGATTCCAGACATTATTAGACATAGGTTTAAAATATTCAACTCAAGGAGAGCCAGAGGACCACGGGCAACTGATCCTATGGAATTCTCTTCAAATTTAAGATCTGATTTAGGATATGCCCAATTTAGATTTGAGATAAATTTTATATTGAAGCAAATAAATAAAAACCTCATTTTGATACAAAATAATATCTGTGATTTTCTACATCTTAAATGGACTACACTATATCCTCCAGACCTACCTCGTAAAGTTGCCCAATATATCACCCATTCTCCATTCGCCATTGGAGAATTTAGAGACGGAATTTACAAGATCACATCCACTGTAGACTCCAATATACCCATCTCTAGTAGTCCCTCTTGTTAGATAGCACGGCATGTTCCAAGTCCAAGATGAACACAAAAACGAAACTCTATGGGTTGAACCCTTAAAAGACAATTTATACAAAGACCCACATTGGACTCATTACTCAATGGTGGCTTCCTCGTTACCCATGTGTAATGGAACAGGAATTGATCCTCTGACGGGGAAAGTAGTCTGCTCAGACACTGCAAACACTCCCATATCCCTAATCGAGCAAACCGAGGAATTTTATCCAACATCCCTCTACACACAGGGCTCCCTATCTGGAATCATAGAAGATAATATGTTTTATAACTCCCCTGCAACCCCTCAAGGGGACTCCGCAACAACTTTCACTTGGTGGCACCCTTGGATCAGTCACTTGATTATGACTGCAGCCTCTATTATTCTATTTATAATATTCACTCCAGCCTTCATAAAGCTTCTTTCTGCCTGTGCACTTAAAGGAGAGGAAGTTGTAGAGAACACACTACACCTGGAAATAACAAGAAAGTCACAATTAATCCCTCAATGATCGCGATGGCATCCTCCCTTTCCAATCATCCAATCTATCCTCCATTCAACACATAATCTCTCCCAGCCTGTCAGGAATCAAAAGGCCAACTACAACATCGTATCAAGAGACGAATCCTGGATATACGCGTAAAAACCCGAAACAAAAAACCAGTCACAAGTTTGGGTGTTCAAATGAGTTAAAGCCAACAAAAATTGTTCGTTCACAGAGTGTTGCAAAAAAAATGGTGGCCACGTTTGTCTCCAAAACCGGCCATGTTACGACTATTCCTCTTGAGGGACAAAGAACGGTTAATGCAGAATGGTATGCTAGCATTTGTTTGCCACAGGTCGTTTCCGAACTCTGTAAAGAGAACTGCAACCGCCGCATCATCCTCCATCACGACAATGCGAGTTCTCACACCCCACACAGAACAAGTTTTTATATATATTAATATAATAACTCAAAGAGCTTATAAAATGCTAGGTTTTGTGATGCGTATCTCAAAAGATTTTAAAAACTCTACAACATTAATTATACTATTTAATACTCTGGTGCGATCTATTCTTGAATATTGCTCTTCATGTTGGAATCCTCAATACAAAGTTTATGTTAAAATGATTGAAACAATCAATAATAAGTTTCTGCGTCACTTAAAGCGATATGATTCTTCCGTAGACTCCTTTATTGATAGCTTACACAGTTATACACTCGAAAAACGCCGTGATATAAGAGATCAAATGTTGTTGTACAAATTGCTACATAATATCATCGACTCACCCCTACTTTTAAGCAAAGTGAATCTTGCGTGTCACCGGTTAGGTGCACGAAAAAAAGCCTCTTTTTTGCATTACGTAAAGTAAAAACGAAGTACGCTTCTAATAATTTTGTATCTCGTACATGTAAAAATTTTAACTTAAAATATTGTGAACTAGATATTTTTCACCTTAAATACAATAGTTATAAAAAAAATATTGTAAAACTTAATTTATAATTGGTAGCTTCACTATAGGTCGTGTGTATTGTATTACTTTTATTTTATGCTTAGAACTTAATGTTTAATTATAAATCCATTTAGGTATTTTTTTTTTCAATCTTTAAACATATTGTGGTTGCAAGCTTTTAATATGTTTTAGATATCTGTGGAAACTTCATTGGTTTTAGGATTACTTTTATATGTTTTATAATGTATTTTTTTTAATTGTACTGTATGTTTCTCTGAAAAAGCAAATAAATAAATAAATAAATAAATTGAGTAGTTTACAATCTACTCAATGACTAACATAGGAATGATCAATTATGTGATTTCTAAATATTAAATTGCATTTTTTCTGTTATACAAAACGTATTTGAGTCATCAATACACTGAATAAGACGCAACACGAAGAATGTGAGATAAGGTTGTTGACGCATAAAGTTATTATCAATTCTACTGTAGAAATTCTTTAGATTAGAATTATTACTTACTGGTACTATATAAGACCAAGCAACTGCAGTCATGGAGTTAGTGTATGGTCGTTTGACCGCAGTGAATCTATCAATAATACATTTGCGTTACTTCAACGCATCAAAGGCCATAGATGTAAGTGTTTAATCTATTGACAAACTTACTTTTCTTTCTGTTATTTTTTACGTGTGTATGATTTTGAACGACAGGCCTGTTGGTCTAGTGGTTAGTGACCCTGACTGTTATGCCGGAGGTCGTGGGTTCGATTCCCACCCAGGACAAATGTTTGTGTGATGAGCACGATCATTTGTTCTGTGTCTGGGTGTAATTTATCTATAATATTTATGTATTTAGAAATATATAAGTATGTTTATCAGTTGTCTAGTACCCATAACACAAGCTCTGCTTAGCTTGGGACTAGATGGCGTTGTGTGATAGTTGTGGCATATTATTATTATTATTATAAGGGAAATACCACGGTAGTCATAGATAAATTAGGTTATAATTCTAAAATACAAGAACTTTTGTCGGATGTAAGCAGTTATAAAAAGGATAAAAAACGACTCAACAAACACACAACATCGTATCAGGTGACGAATCCTGGATATACGCGTACGAACCTGAAACAAAAATCCAGTCACGAGTTTGGGTGTTAGAAAATGAGTTAAAGCCAACAAAAAATTGTTCGTTCACGGAGTGCGCAAAAAAAAAATGGTGGCCACGTTTGTCTTCAAAACCGGCCATGTTACGATTTTTCCTCCTGAGCGTAGATGCACAGACCGTGGCCCGCGGACCGCATGCGGCCGGCCGGTCGAATACTGGTGGCCCGCCGACAGCAAAAATAATACTCTCGTGCATTCGAAAAATATTGAATTATATTCCAGAATAAAACCATAACAAAAATATGTTCGAAAAGTAATTTCAATCTCGCGCGCGCGCTCTTAATTGCGCTTATCGGTGCACCGTGCATACGTCGGTAACAGCAGTCGGTAATGTTCGTGCTGATCTCGGTTAAATTCGTTTTCTTGAGGAACCGCCGCGACTGGCGGCGCGACGACGATGAAAAGATCAGAAATTGTCTGTGTTCTTATTAGAACGCAAAAGAAACGGTACATGAAAGTGTTTAAAAGGCTGTTAAACACTAGTCTTTTAAACGCTTTCATTATTTATTTGCGAAACTTCATGTATCACATGTACTCCCCACCGCCAGTTTAGGCTGAAGGTCGCCGAAGGGTTAAAAAATAATTTTATCAGGAGATGTAGACTATGTATTCGAACTAGAGGCAAACAATTCGAGCATCTGCTTTAATAAATACGTTAATTAAAAATTAAATTTTTTGGCAATATCCCATAACTAAAGTAATAAGTTCGGCTTTAGCGCTACCCTAAATGATAAAAATGGTAATTTCGAAATTTTAAACAAATGATGTGTTATACCTTTTCTGAATCTGCAGTAATTGGAGCAGTTTTCCAAATTATTTTTTTAGTTTACGTCAGTACAATTTTTTACGGTAGGTCATCAAAGTTGGAGTTAAATTTTTTCAAAGGCTAAAAAGTAACACAAATAATTTTTTTTAATTAAAAAATACACAACACACTAACGTGATATTTTTGGGACACTCTCTATATATAGTAGTAGCTGTATACTAGTAGTTGTTCCATTTTGCCATTTTAACTTTCAACGAACGTTAAAAATGTTTTTTTTTTATTTTATTGCAGGGTACCTAACGTCCGTGTATTTTACAACACATATCACACACTTTCTGAATCTGGTATTCATCATGCTGAACCTGGAGTAACTGTAGGAAGATATAACGCCAATCTTGAGGAGCAAATTTTCGCAGCCTTCGAAGCGGATCCTACGACCAGAGTCAGAGCTGTAGCGAGACATTAACCTTTCGATATGGAAAGTGTTGCACAACGAACATAAATATCCGTTTCATGGAACAGGCGTACAAGGCTTGGAGGAAGGGGATCCGGCTAGAAGGATGCAGTTTTGCCGTTTTCTGCTAAACGCAGATATTGACGACGCGTGGTTCTTAGAGTCCATCCTCTGGACTGACGAATCAAATTTCTCTAGGAAAGGAGTTACTAACTTCCAAAACCTCTATGAATGGGCTGATAAGGACAACAATCAATCAATCAAAAAAAACAGGTATTTTTTATTATTATTCATGTTCAACACAAGTTTAATTACAATTAGATTGTTAATTTGAAATAGGTTATTACCGCCATTGCATTTATTATTTCGGAGCTGTTTCAAACACCATGGTCACGATAATTGTAGTGAACCACCTGAAAGTCTCAAAACTTACATGTTTAATTACCTACATTAACTTATTGCGTTTTTGTTTCAGGATTCTTTCCAAAGAGAATTTTCAATAAATGTGTGGGCTGGAGTCATCGGAAACAAATTGGTTGACTCACACATTTTGCCCGACAATTTTAATGGGCTAAAATTATCTGGAGTTTATGACAAACGACTTGCCAATGTTGCTATTTGATGCCGGAGTGATGAACACGGACAGGCCGATCATCTTTCAGCAAGTCGGGTGCCCAGCACATTGGGCCGTAAGCGTCCGCGAGCACCTGGACAAATGCTTTCCTGGCAGCTGGATCGGGAGAGGTGGACCCATCCCCTGGCCTGCCAGATCGCCAGACCTGACGCCCTTGGATTTTTTGTGTGGGGTCGCGCAAAAGAGTTGGTTTATACTAGTGAAAACACGTCCAGAGAAGAATTACATCAAAGAATCATAGCAGCATTCGAAATCATTAAACAAGAAATGCGGATGAAAATTACAACGACGGAAGTAAGAAGACGTTGCAGAAAGTATATTCGCAATGGGGGACGTCATTTTGAACACGAAAAATAAAAAAATCAGTACAAAACAGTTTTTGTAATTCCTAAAAAATCCATATTCACGACCCTTAATTGGTTCAGGCGCCCTAATTAAAAAAGTTTAAGACTCAGCTACGTAAATTATACCTCAAATTAAAGAGCAATAACCGAGCATGTTTTTAAAGTTGTCTGAACACATGTAGGTATTTGTATTTTTTTTTAAATGACATCAAAATTCACATTTTTTATTTTACTTATTTTTTTTTTTGTAAAGTTTAAATGCTTTGTACATAACTTTTTTGGATACAATGGACTTAAAACTACTTTGGCATACGATCCGGGACATATTGGATTACTAGAATAATTAAAAAAATAACGGTCATTTCTGTTTAGGTTAAAAGTTATTAGCATTTAATTGACCAATTTTGGGATTTTCGTGCTAAAATCTTAAGTCCCCTTAAAATCGAAATCGCGCTATAATGTTTTTTTTGGATGAATATGTTCTAAATGATCTAGTGTATCACCCCTTCAAATTTGTTCACCCGATCACCAAACAACCTGTATATATGTAAGTAATATTTATACAGAATGTCCCAGAACTCAACGTCAAGCCGAAACGGGGTGACAGGATTGATTGTAACTAACCATCATGAGAAAAATCAGAAAAGAATCTATCCCATGCAGTTTGGAAATTATGGGCATTTAAGAAAAACCTAGAAATTTGGTCAAACTGTAACCATTTTTTTTTTCGTTTATTGTAGCTAATTTTTTATATTTTTGTTCATTTAAACTTTGGAGCCGTAACCCTAAATAACATTTCTAGAACCACAGTCAAAAATAATGACACATTTGCCCAAAGTTTTCTAGAATTAAGACTATTTGTTAAACTATGAATTTAAAATTTTCAAAATTTCTCAACTTTGAAAGGCCCTCCTTTTAAAAAAATGTACTAAAGTGCCTTGGCAAGTGTAGTAAGTAAAAGTTCGCGCATTTAATCAGGATTATAAAATGGTACAATACTTGTTAGTTACATACTAAAAAAAAACTAGTAAAAAAATAAAAATCTAGAGTAACCCGATAGTTTCTAACCCATTTTATTCAGTTCAAATGTTTTTTATTCAAATGTTTTTTTATTGATGTGAGATTGATAGTGGACATGTTTGCCATGAGTGACCGAGACAGATAGTGACGCCACTTACCAAAGTCAACAAAAGTAAGTAAAATTAATTAATTTAATATCCGTCACAGATTCAGATGACGAATTTAGTGACAATTCAGATATTCCTGGCTCTTATATAGGTTTAGACGAATAAAATATATTTCTTCTTAGCAACCTTTTAACACGTTGTACGACAGTAACGTCTACAGGCGTTGCGGTAAAGTTTGCGATATGACAGATCGTCTGTCGACGTTCGAGTTTTAGCCCTTATACACAGTCAGGTCATATCATAAGTATTGTCACACAGTAAAAACTTTCAGGTCACAAGTATTGTCTTCGTCTTCTTAAGGTGCCGTCTCCTTGCGAAGGTTGGCAATCAACTTTTGAGACCGCTGCTCTAAACAGTGATCTTGTGCTCTTCCCGAACCACTGGCGCAAGTTCTTCAGCCACGACATCCTTCTGCGGCCAGGCCTTAAGTATTGTCACACAGTAAAAACTTTTCTTTTAGAATGCTGGCCACAAAAAAGTTTATTGAATTCGAATTTCGTATTGTTCATGAAAACAAAACTGTACACTTTTTAGAATTTTACTCATTTTTAAATATGGAGTGGACGCTTAAAGAAGACCGTGTTGCAGTTATGGCGTTGCATCGTTGCGGTTACGCGCCAATTCAAATTTTTAACATACTGAAAAATTTGAATATAACTAAAAGATTCGTTTATCGTACCATCAAACGATACAATGAAGACTCTAGTGCAGATGACAGGTCAAGAAGTGGTCGCCCTCGGACTGTTAGGACTCCAGCAGTGATAAAAGTTGTGAAGGCGCGAATTCAAAGAAATCCCAAACATAAGCAAAAACTGTTGGCCCTTCAGATGGGGTTAAGCAGAACCACGGTGAAAAGGTGTTAAATGAAGACTTAGGGCTTCGGGCATATCGAAGAAAAACAGGACATCGTTTGAATGCTCGTCTAATGGACCTGAGACTGAAGAGATGCCGCGCTTTGTTGAAGCGGTACGCGTGAAAAAAATATCGGGAAATCCTTTTTTCGGATGAAAAAAATTTTACCGTAGAAGAGAGCTACAACAAACAAAATGATAAGGTGTACGCACACAGTAGTGAAGAAGCAAACAACCGTATTTCGCGTGTCCAACGGAGTCATTTTCCATCCTCGCTCATGGTATGGTTGGGAGTTTCTTTTTGGGGATTAACAGAGGTACATTTTTGTGAGAAAGGTGTAAAAACGAATGCAGTTGTGTATCAAAATACAGTCCTGACGAACCTTGTGGAACCTGTTTCTCATACCATGTTCAATAACAGGCACTGGGTATTCCAACAAGATTCGGCGTCAGCTCATAGAGCGAAGAGCACACAAGATTGGCTTGCGACGCGTCAAATCGACTTCATCCAGCACCAAGACTGGCCCTCCTCCAGTCCAGATTTGAATCCGTTAGATTACAAGATATGGCAACACTTAGAGGAAAAGGCGTACTCAAAGAATATAACTTGTTTCAATTATTTTATATAATATAAAATAATTTAAACAAGTTTATTTGAAAAATAAACTTGTTTCAATTATTTTATATTAAACATGTGACAGAATTTATGACCTGACTAGGTAAAATCAGTACGCCTAACGACGTTCCAGATTCCTTCAAAATGTATGAAGCAGCATTTTGTACTGTCATTGTAAATACAATTTTCGTATTTGTACTGTCACATCGTCAAGTTTTACACACATTTGAAAAAAGTCCGGTCACTCACACAACGAAGATTTTGAACTCCCCCGCGCAAGCACAGCACGCCCCTCGACGTCATCTTTACATACATTCAGTGGAGTAGTGCGCGTCAGCGGTGCCCCACGTGCGTTTGTGCTGCACTTGTAACCAAATATTTCGCAAAGGTTTGTCACCTATACAGGACTTGTCTTTTTTTACTGATGAGATATTGCAGCAAGTTGTTACATTTACAAATGCAAAAAACTTATTAGCAAAAATAAATACAAGTGTGAAACGCATACTGTCTCTCCGATTGATTTGGTGAAACTAAAAGCTTTGCTCGGTTTATTATTTATTTCAGCGGCTACGAAAAGTAACAATTTACCAACTCGGTGGCTTTTCGATACTAGAAGATTGAGAACAGTTTTCAATCGCAATATCACAATTGATAATTGGTTTACCTCTAAATCTTTGGCTGAGGAGCTGTCGAAATTACATTATTATAATAACCCTTTTTGTACAATTAAAAATTGTACAAAAAGGGTTATTATAATAACAAATTAATACATGAATGAAAATAACCCCGGTGAATGAGGTGATCGCCACCATGCTGGTTCTATAAAAATTCATTCAGAAATTGTAAAAGAATAAATTTATTGTAAATTCAATATAAAATCATTACAAAAAGTCAAACAACCGAATTTGATTATTGCCGGCTACATTGCAAAAAATTATCGATAAATATACCAGCGACGCCACAACACTATTTGCTCCATACATTTGTTCAAATATATTTTATTTCTTGTGTTTTGTATTTTGTGCATTGAATTTAATATGTTTATTGTAAATAATAATAAAAATGTACTTTTATAAACATATTTGATTTGTATCGAAACATATTTGAGTGTGTTATATGTGAATTTATCCTGAAAAACTTCCTTTTTCGTGGTTGAGTAAGAAATGTGTTATTTTTCCATTTTCATTTATTTTTACTGTATAATGTAAATAAAAAATAATTATATTACATATTTCAAATAATTTGGTGTTGTATTTATTTCAAAATCACAAAAAATATTAGAGAAATAGTGTTTCAAATTTCATATAATAAAATAGAATTTCGGAAAACAAGGGTTATGTTTGATTCCTATTTATGTGTTTTTTTTTATATGGGTTACGAATAAAAACACATAAAAACGTAAAACTATATTTATTTCCAAACATTTTCATATAGATTTCTCAAAAAACAAACTTGTGGAAATTATTTTATTAATATTTTCGTGGCTAAAAGTGGAGTATTTAGTACTACTATGATTTTTAAAGGGTAATTTATGGATTTTATTACTATATCTAACATCAAAAAATTATTTTATTCGATAGTTTATACATTCAAGAAGAATTCCTGTAAGTTTTATTCAAAAATATTGTCTTAAAGTGAAAATATAGCAGAATTTGCAAGTTAGGTAAAATTTTTCATTTTCCGCCATTTTAAGGTCCCGAGCGAACGGGAGTATAACATGTCGCGCGCTGTTAGAGCTTACAGGCTTTCCTCGGCTCTAAAAGAGATCGAATTCGATCAGAAGTACTGCCCTATGAAAAAACTATTTTTTCGTTTTAAACAAAACCAAAGACAATATGCAATAGATAATAGTATCAAAGACAAAGATATGCTCTTTTATTTTAAAACGTAACCTGGCAATGTTTCCTAGAAAAAAAAAAAAAGAAATCACTTTGAACTTCCAGCGTTCCACGTGTGGCATTGCGCACAAGTGCTCCAGCATATTTTGAAAGATTTATAATTTTGTCTGCGATAAAAACGTAAGTATTATACACTTTTGTAATCCTTGTGATATAACAAACCCGTAGATATATAATTTGTGGCATAAAAGTGAAAAGTGAATGCTAAAAATAGTTTGAATTCGAAATGATGTAGAAAAGTTCAGACGAAATAGTAAATGTAAATGTCTATAGTTACGGATAAATCTAATTGAATACGGTAAAATCCTAATGAAATTACGAGATAATTTCATATTCTTCAAGATTTCGTTCATTTTTCCTATCAAAATTGTATCATAACCTATACAATTGTTCATTAAACGGTCCTATACCTATATAACAATTCAAATATTTCGCCATATTAAGCATATTTGCAGGGATTGGGCGAATTTTATCGATAAGGCGTTTTATTATTTCAACAGGAAAGTTTTTTATTATTTCAAACGGAGCAGTGCTCCGGCTCCGCATGCAGCTCCGGAGGCTGTTCCAGGCCCCGCACCCCGCAGACTGGAAGTAAGTAGTAATACAAAACATCAGTCATGAAACGTTTCTATGTAAATTTTTATATTTCAGCTAGTATTTATATAAATAACTATTTATATTTATTATATATAAATGTTTGCAGCTCAATAAAAATATGTTTATTATTTCAACAGGGGTCACGGAGCAGTGCTCCGGCTCCGCATGCAGCTCCGGAGGCTGTTCCAGGCCCCGCACCCCGCAGACTGGAAGTAAGTAGTAATACAAAACATCAGTCATGAAACGTTTCTATGTAAATTTTTATATTTCAGCCAGTATTTATAAAAATATTTATTTATATTTATTATACATAAATGTTTGCAGCCCAATAAAAATGTGTTTATTATTTCAACAGGGGTCATGGAGCAGTGCTCCGGCTCTGGATCCGGCTCCGGCAGGTCCGGAGGTTGCTCCGGAGGCTATTCCAGGCCCCGCACCGCGCACAGTGGAAGTAAGTAATAAATATTTTTTTTTTTATATATATATATATATATTACTTACTTCTATATGTTTGCAGCACAATAAGAACGTGTTCATTTTTCAACAGGATTTACCTGCTCCAGGCCCCGCACCCCGCTTCATGGTGGAGGTGTTGGACACGGCGGCGGCACGTCAGCGGCGAAGGACCGCGTCTGTACGCGGGCGTGGTCGCGGACGTGGCCGAGGCCGTGGCCGAAGCGTAGGTTGGTTGCGTGGAGCACCCTACGTGCAAATCTTCCAAAACGACACGGATTTGCCCTTGGATATTCAGAAGCAAATCCGTGATCATTCCATTAGGAGGGAGAGGTATGAAAGAAGAAGGATACCTGCAAATCAGGAAGAGGAGAATGTGAGGGAGGATGAATCGGAATGGGATGAAGATGATAGTTTTGAGTGGCGAGGGATGAAAGAGTGGAATGGCATGCAATGCCATTTTGTGTTAGAACAGACTGGGCCTACCGTTTCGATACAAGATCCATATGAGGCCATGCATGCCATCTGGACAGATGACATCATGGCCCATACTGCTGACGAAACGAACCGGTATGCCGAATCATGTATACATACATCTCCATGTAGACATGTATTCGAACTAGAGGCAAACAATTCGAGCATCCACTTTAATAAATACGTTAATTAAAAAAATTCAATTTTTTGGCAATATCCCATAACTAAGCTAATAAGTTCGGCTTTAGCGCTACCCTAAATGATAAAAATGGTAATTTCGACATGTACTGTATATATAGTAGTAGTTGTATACTAGTAGTTGTTCCTTTTTCCATTTTAACTTTCAACGAACGTTAAAAATGATTTTTTTATTTTATTGCAGGGTACCTAACGTCCGTGTTTTTTACAACACATATCGCAGACTTTCTGAATCTGGTATTCATCATGCTGAACCTGGAGTAACTGCAGGAAGATATAACGCCAATTTTGAGGAGCAAATTTTCGCAGCCTTCGAAGCGGATCCTACTACCAGTGTCAGAGCTGTAGCGAGACTTTAACCTTTCGATATGGAAAGTGTTGCACAACGAACATAAATATCCGTTTCATGGAACAGGCGTACAAGGCTTGGAGGAAGGGGATCCGGCTATAAGGATGCAGTTTTGCCGTTTTCTGCTAAACGCAGATATTGACAACACGTGGTTCTTAGAGTCCATCCTCAGGACTGACGAATCAAAGTTCTCTAGGAAAGGAATTACTAACTTCCACAACCTCCATGAATGGGCTGATAAGGACAAAAATCCACATTCGAAAAAACAGGTATTTTTTTTATTATTCATGTTCAACACAAGTGTTACACACTTGTTACATCCAGTGCAGCTCAGATTCGATCATACAACCTCGGCTCTAAAAGGGATCGAATTCGATTAGAAGTACTGCCCTATGAAAAAACTATTTTTTTCGTTTTAAACAAAACCAAAGACAATATGCAATAGATAATAGTATCAAAGACAAAGATATGCTCTTTTATTTTAAAACGTAACCTGGCAAGGTTCCTTAGAAAAAAAATCACTTTGAACTTCCGGCGTTCCACGTGTGGCATTGCGCACAAGTGCTCCAGCATATTTTGAAAGATTTATAATTTTGTCTGCGATAAAAACATAAGTATTATACATTTTTGTAATCCTTGTGATATAACAAACCCGTAGATATATAATTTGTGGCATAAAAGTGAAAAGTGAATGCTCAAAATGGTTTGAAATCGAAATGATGTAGAAAAGTTCAGACGAAATAGTAAATGTAAATGTCTATAGTTACGGATAAACCTAATTGAATACAGTAAAATCCTAATGAAATTACGAGATAATTTCATATTCTACAAGATTTCGTACATTTTTCCTATCAAAATTGTACCTATATAACAATCCAAATATTTCGCCATATTTAGCATATTTATATGATATGGAGATATTTATAAAAAAAAGTGATACATTTTACGTATTTTTATTGTACAGACATGTGCTTCACTATTTTTTTTCATTTGGATAAATTCAGTATGTATATAGCAATTTCTGCTGATATAATAACATAATATGACCTATTGTCTATATATTATCTCTGCTGAATCCCTATATATCCTATATACATATATATATATATATATAAAATATGATAGACATAACTATGTACTATGGTATGTAACAATTATTATTTTCTTTTTTAGCATGTGGAACCCCGGAAGCAACCCAGTTCCCCAGGTCTTCATCGATGTTCTTCTCGATGAGGAGGAAGAAGTCGAAGAAATGGCCATCGGTGAAAACGTTGGGAACGAGGGGAGCGAGTCGATTGTGATGACTGGGATATATCTGTTAGTAATATTTATATGTAACATCACACACAAGTATAGATAAATAGACACTTATAGATATTATCGGGTTCATTTTTCAACAGAGCATGCCCATTTTCTATCTGCGGTCCGACGGGTCTTTTAGTGACCTGTCGGATTTGCTGGAAGAGCCTGCGGAGGTGTCTGTAAGTTATATTTATAGCATCAGTCATGAAACATTTCTATGTAAATTTTTATATTTCAGCTAGTATTTATATAAATATTTATTTATAATTATTATATATAAATGTTTGCAGCCCAATAAAAATGTGTTTATTATTTCAACAGGGGTCATGGAGCAGTGCTCCAGCCCCGGAGGTTGCTCCGGAGGCTATTCCAGGCCCCGCACCGCGCACAGTGGAAGTAAGTAATAACTATATATATATATATATATATATATATATATATATATATATATATATATATATATGTTTGCAGCACAATAAGAACGTGTTCATTTTTCAAGGTGAGGACACGGCGGCGGCACGTCAGCGGCGAGGGACCGCGTCTGTACGCGGGCGTGGGGGGTGGGCCGTGGACGTGGCCGTGGCCGAAGCGTGGGTTAGTTGCGTGGAGCACTAAGTGCAAATTTTCCTAAACGACACGGATTTACCCTTGGATATTCAGGGGCAAATCCGTGATCATTCCATTAGGAGGCAGAGGTATGAAAGAAGAAGGATACCTGCAAATCAGAAAGAGGAGAATGTGAGGGAGGATGAATCGGAATGGGATGAAGATGATAGTTTTGAGTGGCGAGGGATGAACGAGTGGAATGGCAGGCAATGCCATTTTGTGTTAGAACAGACTGGGCCTACCGTTTCGATTCAAGATCCATATGAGGCCATGCATGCCATCTGGACAGATGACATCATGGCCCATATTGCTGACGAAACGAACCGGTATGCCGAATCAGTTTTGGTACAGCAGCTTTCAGGTTTCATGAAAGATTGGTTTCAGACCAATCTAGATGAAATCTGGACGCTAATGGCATTTTGGATCATGCTTGGCATTATTAGAATGCATTAAATCCTGTTTCTTCAAGCTTATATTTATTATATATATTAATATATAGAATATATTTTATAGCATTTAAAGCTCCGACACCGGTAACCGGACACACTGTATATATGTGTATATATATAGTTTTTATATTATATAATCGGATGAGAACTTTCAAGGCTAAGAATTTTTGTTCAGCTCCACTAAGCAATTTTGAGGAATTTATTTTGTATATAATACATGTTTTTTATTTATTTATTAGAATCGTGTCGAAACGTCAGCAAGACGATGGCATTGCCGGGCAGATCCGTGAGATGCCGGAAGGTCGCCTGTTGCCGTGCTATCCTTGCGTGGTAACGCCAGAAGGCACAGTACGCACACAAGGCGATCCAGTGCTGTACCAAGCGACATCAAGCGGACGCATTCCTGTAAGTACTTCGCAAAAATTTCGCACAGATGTATTGGGCACGATAAACCGCCGGCGAAAGGGGATACCACAGGTTATAAAGGATTTGAACCCGAAGCAGCTGGAGCGTGGGGTGTCTGTAGGTAGACATTGCGATGACATCGCGTTGGTGGCGTGGAAAGAGGTCAAACTTGTCACCGTTTTGTCTACCTAACACCAACATGAGATGGTACCGGGAAGACGTGCTGGACAGGCGGTCCTGAAGCCAACAGTGGTTCAGGAGTACAACCGATACATGGGAGGCGTAGACTTAAAAGATCAGAAATTGTCTGTGTTCTTATTATAACGCAAAAGAAACCAGAAATGGTACATAAAAGTGTTTAAAAGGCTGTTAAACACCAGTCTTCTAAACGCTTTCATTATTTATTTGCGGAACCCCATGTATCACATGTACTCCCACCGCCAGTTTAGGCTGAAGGTCGCCGAAGGGTTAAAAAATAATTTTATCAGGAGATGTAGACTATGTATTCGAACTAGAGGCAAACAATTCGAGCATCCACTTTAATAAATACGTTAATTAAAAAAAATTCAATTTTTTGGCAATATCCCATAACTAAGCTAATAAGTTCGGCTTTAGCGCTACCCTAAATGATAAAAATGGTAATTTCGACATGTACTGTATATATAGTAGTAGTTGTATACTAGTAGTTGTTCCATTTTACCATTTTAACTTTCAACGAACGTTAAAAATGTTTTTTTATTTTATTGCAGGGTACCTAACGTCCGTGTTTTTTACAACACATATCGCAGACTTTCTGAATCTGGTATTCATCATGCTGAACCTGGAGTAACTGCAGGAAGATATAACGCCAATCTTGAGGAGCAAATTTTCGCAGCCTTCGAAGCGGATCCTACTACCAGTGTCAGAGCTGTAGCGAGACTTTAACCTTTCGATATGAAAAGTTTTGCACAACGAACATAAATATCCGTTTCATGGAACAAGCGTACAAGGCTTGGAGGAAGGGGATCCGGCTAGAACGATGCAGTTTTGCCGTTTTCTGCTAAACGCAGATATTGACGACGCGTGGTTCTTAGAGTCCATCCTCAGGACTGACGAATCAAAGTTCTCTAGGAAAGGAATTACTAACTTCCACAACCTCCATGAATGGGCTGATAAGGACAAAAATCCACATTCGAAAAAACAGGTATTTTTTTTTATTATCCATGTTCAACAAAGTGTATATATATATTTATATATATATATATATATATATATATATATATAGTTTTATGTTATATAATTGGATGAGAACTTTCAAGGCTAAGAATTTTTGTTCAGCTCCACTAAGCGATTTTGAGGAATTTATTTTGTATATAATACATGTTTTTTATTTATTTATTAGAATCATGTCGAAACGTCAGCATGACGATGCCATTGCCGGGCAGATCCGCGAGATGCCGGAAGGTCGCCTGTTGCTGTGCTATCCTTGCGTGGTAACGCCAGAAGTCACGGTACGCACATAAACCGCCGGCGAAAGGGGATACCACAGGTTATAATGGATTTGAACCCGAAGGCAGCTGGAGCGTGGGGTGTCTGTAGGTAGACATTGCGGTGACATCGCGTTGGTGGCGTGGAAAGAGGTCAAACTTGTCACCGTTTTGTCTACCTACCACCAACATGAGATGGTACCGGGAAGACGTGCTGGACAGGCTGTCCTGAAGCCAACAGTGGTTCAGGAGTACAACCGATACATGAGAGGCGTAGACTTAAAAGATCAGAAATTGTCTGTGTTGTTATTATAACGCAAAAGAAACCAGAAATGGTACATAAAAGTGTTTAAAAGGCTGTTAAACACCAGTCTTCTAAACGCTTTCATTATTTATTTGCGGAACCCCATGTATCACATGTACTCCCACCGCCAGTTTAGGCTGAAGGTTGCCGAAGGGTTAAAAAATAATTTTATCAGGAGATGTAGACTATGTATTCGAACTAGAGGCAAACAATTCGAGCATCCGCTTTAATAAATACGTTAATTAAAAAAATTCAATTTTTTGGCAATATCCCATAACTAAGCTAATGAGTTCGGCTTTAGCGCTACCGTAAATGATAAAAATGGTAATTTCGACATGTACTGTATATATATTAGTAGTTGTATACTAGTAGTTGTTCCATTTTACCATTTTAACTTTCAACGAACGTTAAAAATGTCTTTTTTTATTTTATTGCAGGGTACCTAACGTCCGTGTTTTTTACAACACATATCGCAGACTTTCTGAATCTGGTATTCATCATGCTGAACCTGGAGTAACTGCAGGAAGATATAACGCCAAACTTGAGGAGCAAATTTTCGCATCCTTCGAAGCGGATCCTACTACCAGTGTCAGAGCTGTAGCGAGACTTTAACCTTTCGATATGGAAAGTGTTGCACAACGAACATAAATATCCGTTTCATGGAACAGGCGTACAAGGCTTGGAGGAAGTGGATCCGGCTAGAAGGATGCAGTTTTGCCGTTTTCTGCTAAACGCAGATATTGACAACACGTGGTTCTTAGAGTCCATCCTCAGGACTGACGAATCAAAGTTCTCTAGGAAAGGAATTACTAACTTCCACAACCTCCATGAATGGGCTGATAAGGACAAAAATCCACATTCGAAAAAACAGGTATTTTTTTTATTATTCATGTTCAACACAAGTGTTACACACTTGTTACATCCAGTGCAGCTCAGATTCGATCATACAACCTCGGCTCTAAAAGAGATCGAATTCGATTAGAAGTACTGCCCTATGAAAAAACTATTTTTTTCGTTTTAAACAAAACCAAAGACAATATTCAATAGATAATAGTATCAAAGACAAAGATATGCTATGATAAACGTAACCTGGCAATGTTTCTTAGGAAAAAAAAAGAAATCACTTTGAACTTCCGGCGTTCCACGTGTGGCATTGCGCACAAGTGCTTCAGCATATTTTGAAAGATTTATAATTTTGTCTGCGATAAAAACATAAGTATTATACATTTTTGTAATCCTTGTGATATAACAAACCCGTAGATATATAATTTGTGGCATAAAAGTGAAAAGTGAATGCTCAAAATGGTTTGAAATCGAAATGATGTAGAAAAGTTCAGACGAAATAGTAAATGTAAATGTCTATAGTTACGGATAAACCTAATTGAATACGGTAAAATCCTAATGAAATTACGAGATAATTTCATATTCTACAAGATTTCGTACATTTTTCCTATCAAAATTGTATCATAACCTATACAATTGTTCATAAAACGGTTCAATATCTATACAACAATCCAAATATTTCGCCATATTTAGCATATTTATATGATATGGAGATATTTATAAAAAAAGTGATACATTTTACGTATTTTTATTGTACAGACATGTGCTTCACTATTTTTTTTCATTTGGATAAATTCAGTATGTATATAGCAATTTCTGCCGATATAATAACATAATATGACCTATTGTCTATATATTATCTCTGCTGAATCCCTATATATCCTATATATATTATATATGATATATATATATATATAATATGATAGACATAACTATGTACTATGGTATGTAACAATTATTATATTCTTTTTTTAGCATGTGGAACCCCGGAAGCAACCCAGTTCCCCAGGTCTTCATCGATGTTCTTCTCGATGAGGATGTAATGCATTACCTAGAAGTTTTATATTTCATGCGCGAGTCCCGTGTGACTCTGCTGCGCAAGCGCGTTTAGCATAAGTTAGATTTTATAAGAAATGATTGTATTTGGGACTCAATAAACGACCGACGTACGGTGAAGACGTATCTTTTCTTTTCCCCACGCGTACCATGCCTCATGGCGACCCTGCCAGGATACTAACAAAGAAATTACCCACTAAGTGAAAAACCAGTGCAAAAAAAAAACCAAATTCGGAAGAAAGAAGAAAACCTTATAGAATAAATAAGAAAACCTTACAGAAGAATGAAGAAAACCATATAGAAGAAAGAAGCACAAATTCTGAAGAAAGAAAAAAGAAGCGCCCTATTTTGAAGAAAACAAAAAAAAACCAAGAAGAAACGCCAGAAATCCAAAGAGAAATAAAGGTACGAAATGGGAAAATCGCAGTCGAAAGAAGTAGTCATAGCACAAAACGCAAATGGTGCAGCATCCGCAAATACAAGCCTAGAAGACGCTCACACAAACCACATCATACAAACCCTCATGATTGTATCCGTGGTTATACTGGCTGCAGCAGTTATCTATTACCTGATCAAAAAATGCAGGAAGAGTGCCGTGAAAACTCTGAGGCGAGAACTCAACGCAATCTCGCTTGAAAACATCGCCCGCCCTACAACTAACTAAAAGATCTCAAGAGGTGTCCAGGGTAATACCCGGCCCGCTTCAAGAAGATGACCTCATGCAGCCACACATCCTGTTTGCAGTGCTGTTCCCGCTTGCTCGCGCCGCCCTAAAAATGGTTACATCCACAAACACCATCGCCCCGCCCTTGTAATTAGTATGTACGTGATATTTTAACAAGTAGTGAAATTATAATTTTTAAGTGTTTTTACATAGTGTGTAAATAATAGTTTCCTTTTCCTTTACTGTTAGAAATTATATTTGTCGATTTTTTCAATGTCACTAGCTGAACTAAATAATGTGTACAGTAGTTTAAAAGAAATTAGAGATTATGTAGTGAAAATCAGACCAAAACGTAGAGAGAGTTCCGATACAGCAAAAGAAAAAGTTAGTGAAGCGAAAAATCTGTACAGTCGTTTGGAGTATATTTCGTCTAAAATCAAACTAAAAATAGAGAATTCTGAGATAAGTAGCGATGATTTTCAGGTTATTAATAGATGCGTAGACGACATACAGATCTTGTACAGTAATATTTTAAATTTAATGTCTCGTGAATCAGAAAGTTCCAATAACTCAGCCAGCATGGGCGCCTTTGATTTAAAAACGGCAATAGCCCTATTGCTAATAATGACAGGCCACGAAAATATTACTACTCAACTGATAGATAGTATTGTGATGTATAGTGATATGCTTAAGGAAAATGGCAAAAAACAATTAATTGATTTCGTTTTGAAAACTAGACTGACCCCTAGCGCCAAGCTGAGGTTAAAATCTAGCTACGAGTCCGTGAATAGTTTGGTTTTAGATATGTGCACTCACTTAATTCAGAAGAAATCCGCGGTAGCATTGCAATCGCAGCTTA